TCGGGGTTTCACCATGTTGACCAGGATGGTCTCGATCTCTTGACCTCGTGATCCACCCGCCTCGGCCTCCCAAAGTGCTGGGATTACAGGCTTGAGCCACCGCGCCCGGCCTAATGTTTGTATTTTTAAGTAGAGACGGGGTTTCATCATGTTGGTCAGGCTGGTGTCTAACCCCTGACCTCTTGATCTGCCCGCCTCAGCCTCCCAAAGTGCTGGGATTACCGGTGTGAGCCACCGCGCCCAGCTGATATCTTGACTCTATTTTTTTTTTTTTTTGAGATGGAGTTTCACTCGTTACCCAGGCTGTAGTGCAATGGCGCGATCTCGGCTCACAGCAACCTCCGCCTCCTGGGTTCAGGCAATTCTCCTGCCTCAGCCTCCTGAGTAGCTGCGATTACAGGCACGCACCACCATGCCCAGCTAATTTTTTGTATTTTTTTAGTAGAGACGTGGTTTCAGCATGTTGACCAGGATGGTGTCGATCTCTTGACCTCGTGATCCACCCGCCTCGGCCTCCCAAAGTGCTGGGATTACAGGCTTGAGCCACCGCGCCCGGCCATCTTGACTCTATTAAGCATTGCCTTAGTTTATTAGCTATAGAAGTTCACCAGGAATGCTCTTATTATCAGTCTGTGTATGTATTTTTTTTTTTCTATCTTTAAAGATATTTTAGATGGGCAGAAATCAGGAGACCATCTAAAGCGGGCTAGGAAGAAAGGGAGAAACAGACAGGAAGTTCCTGCATTTACTGAACTTGATACAACTGCAGATGTCAAAACACCTTTTGATTTGGCCAAGGTGAGTGCTTATAGATTGAAGCTTTTTCTGACTATTGGGAGAAGAGGAAGTAAATAATACATTTCAGAGAGCAAAATATACAGATTGGTCTAGAATGGCAATTTTCAACAAATGCATGAATTTTAGGAAGAAAACGTGATATATACTCCTTTCTATATGGAGTATTATAAGGATATCTTTGCTTTTTTTTATTTCTTTTTCCAAGACTGAGTCTTGCTCTGTCACCCAAGCTGGGATACAGTGGCACCATCTCAGTTCACTGCAACCTCAGCCTTTTGGGCTCAAGCAGTTCTCCTGCCTCAGCCTCCCAAGTAGCTGGGATTATAGGTGCACATCACCATGCCCAGCTAATTGACATCTTTGCTTTGAGATGAGATTGAGGCAGATAAATATAAGTTGGAAAATATTTAATGTGTCCCATGCTGCTGCTGCTTTTTTTTTTTTTTTTAAATATGGAATGCTTCATGAATTTGTGTGGTTTTTTTTTGTTTTTTTTTTTGAGATGGAGTCTTGCTCTTGCTCTATTGTGAGGCTGGAGTGCAGTGGTGTGATCTCAGCTTACTGCAACCTCCGCCTCCCAGGTTCAAGCGATTCTCCTGCTTCAGCCCCCTGAGTAGCTGGGACTACAGGTGTGCACCACCACACCCAGCTAATTTTTGTATTTTTAGTAGAGCCAGGGTTTCACCATGTTGGCCAGGATGGTCTTGATCTTTTGACCTCGTGATCCGCCCTCCTTGCCTCCCAAAGTGCGAGGATTACAGTTGTGAGCCACTGTGCCCAGCCATGAATTTGTTTATCATCCTTGTGCAGGAGCCATGCCTATCTTCTCTGTATTGTTCTAATTTTAGTATATGTGCTGTTGGAGCAAGCACCCGTGCTTTAACTTGAACATTTTTGTGGGTTTGTACTAAAAGAATGCACAATTGTAGCTGTTATTAATGATGTTCCTATTTTTAGCTAGCCTCCTCCGCCACCATCATAATACCATCATTCAACTTTCAGAGCCTTTTCTTTCTTTCTTTCTTTCTTCTTTTATTTTTTTTTTGAGACAGGGCCTTGCCCTGTTTCCCAGGCTGGAGTGCATTGACATGATCATGACTCAGTGCAGCTTTGCCTACCCCAGGCTCAGTTGATCCTCTTACCTCAGCATCCCAAGTAGCTGAGACTACAGGGGTGTACCAGCATGCCCAGCTAATTTTTTTCTGCTTTTTGTAGAGGCAGAGGCTCACTATATTGTGCAGGCTGGTCTCAAACTCCTGGGCTCAAGCAATCCAACTGCTTTAGCCTTCCAAAGTGCTGGGATTACAGACGTTAGCCACCATACTTGGCCTACAACCTATTTTGTCTGTATTTTGTCCTTGAGTGTTTTGCACTCATTAAAAGCAAATTTGGGGCTGGGCATGGTGGCTCAGGCCTGTAATCCCAGCACTTTGGGAGGCCAAGGCGGGTTGATCACCTGAGATCTGGAGTTCAAGACCAGCCTGACCAACATGGTGAAACCCCATCTCTACTAACAGTCTAAAATTAGTTGGGCATGGTGGCCTGTAATTTCAGCTACTTGGGAGGCTGAAGCAGGAGAATCGCTTGAACCCGGGAGGCAGAGGTTGTAGGGAGCCAAGATCACACCATTGCTCTCCAGCCTGGGCAACAAGAACGAAGCTCCATCAAAAAAAAAAAAAAAAAAAAAAAAAAAAGCAAATCTGGAAGATAGTTAGATTAAATCAGAAAAAGTGGTTCATCTCCTATAAAGACAGTAATTTCTTTTTGTTCTTTTTTGAGACAGAGTCTTGCTCTATTGCCAGGCTGGAGTGCAGTGGCGTGATCTCGGCTCCCTGCAATCTCCACCACCAGGTTCAAGCAATTCTCCTAACTCAGCCTCCTAAGTAGCTGGGATTACAGGCACCCGCCACCATGCCCAGCTAATTTTTTTGTAGTTTTAGTAGAGACAGAGTTTCACCGTGTTGGCCAGACTGGTTTTGAACTCCTGACCTCAAGTGATCCTCTGCTTCGGCCTCCCAAAGTGTTAGGATTATGGGCATGAACCACCATGCCCAGGCTTCATTTTATTTTTTTTGAGATGGAGTCTCACTCCGTTGCCCAGACTGGAGTACAGTGGCGTGATCTCGGCTCACTGCTAGCTCCACCTCCTGGGTTCAAGCAATTCTTCTGCCTCAGCCTCCTGAGAAGCTGGGACTACAGGCGCCTGCTACCATGCCTGGCTAATTTTTTTTTTGTATTTTTAGTAGAGACGGGGTTTCACCATGTTAACCAGGATAGTCTCTATCTCCTGACCTTATGATCCACCCGCCTTGGCCTCCCAAAGTGCTGTGATTACAGGTGTGAGCCACTATGCCTGGCCTTTCATTTCTTATTTTTAATGGTAGTTATATTCTGTAAAGTTACCATGTGTACTGCTTTAGTGAATATTGAACGATAGCTACCAGGGGAGATACAGGGTTAGATTCTTGTGAGCATCTCTGGTCACAACATTTCCATCAGTTGGTCAATACATAACCTTATTTTATGTATGTTTCTGTTTAAAGACATCTTATTTAATATATATTGTTGATTCATTAACATTGAATTCACAGTGAGCAGCACCATAACTTACGCAAGAATGAAGCATTTGTGACATACGTGTTTTCTCCTTAAGGCACAGCCTTCTTGTACTTAGGAATGCTAGATAGCACTACAGCATTACACATAGGGGCCATTTTAAATGGTGACATCACTAAAAAAGCAATAAGATAATAAAAACGTAGCACTAAATAGGCCACAAAAAAAAGGTGCTTATTTATAGTATGAGAGCTAAATAAAAGCAGATCATTACCTTGTTTGACCTTAGTTGAGAAGGTGCACATTTGACAGCTCAACACTCTGTACATGTCCAGAAATGAAACTGATAGCACTTGGAATATTGATTTTTTTTTTTTTTTTTTTTTTTTGAGACAGAGTCTTGCTCTGTTGCCAGGCACCAGGTTGGAGTGCAGTGGCGCCATCTTGGCTCACTGCAACCTCGGCTTCCCAGGTTCAAGCAGTTCTCCTGCCTCAGCCTCCCGAGTAGCTGGGACTACAGGCGCGTGCCACCAAGCCCAGCTAATTTTTGTATTTTTTAAGTAGAGAC